GAAACTGATCGAGGTCAACGCTAGAACTGGCCAGACTGTTGCAAATTCCACACACCCCTGTTATCATATCCCATCTCCATCTGGCCAAACCACCCCGCCCAGGGATTGTAGGTCAATCATTTAATGTCGAATATCTAAAGAACATTCTGGCACCAAAAGGTGGAATGGGAGGTAATTATTCCAAATAAAACAAAAACATCCTTAATACTTAATCATTGCTGATATCATGGACATCCCTGTAGATCACTTGTGTGCTGTGGCCAAGACTCCTCAGAAAGTCAGAGAGTTCGGCGTGAGCGTTGCAGACATTCAGGCATCTGCCTGCATTTCTGGCCTATCCTGGGAACTTTATAATTAAGATGCAGAGTGACTTTTCCTTCTGTTCTCTCAGTTTTACTTGCGTTGAGAGAAGAACAGATTCTTCTCAAAAAAAAAAAAATTGCAAGATGATTGGGTCGAAGAGAGAGTACAGTGGCTAGCGCTGGCAGACGGCTGGCCCACGGCTGATCCGGGTTGGATTCCCAGCACCGCACCACCGGGCATGACCCCCAAACAGACAAAATTGCAGGATGCTGACCGCAGCTGGCCAGAAGGTCGCCTGTTGCAGGAGGGACTTGAAGAGCTACACAGACCTGAGCAGGCTGAGACGCTCCAGGGCCCAGCACAAGTCCCATCCTCCGCTGGTCCTCCCCGCTCTCAGCTGCTCGACTCTATACCAGCAAGGAGGTGGCAGGAGGGAAGAAACACTCTAACACTCTCACACATCCTAAAACAGTTCGAGAGCAGATCGCACTGTGACTGGAGTAATGATACAAACCAGACATCCCTAATCGGGGGTGAGGGACAAGCTGTGGAGAGCCTGCCCATGCGTGCAAATGCTGCTTCTGAGGATGCAAAGGGGTGCCCCGAGAGACGGGCAGTGGGGAGGGCACTCGCCCGGCACGCTGCTGACCGGGGTTCCATCCCTGACATCCATAGGGTCCCTGGAGCCCTGCCAGGAATAAGCCCTGAGCACTGTCAGGTGTGTCCCCAAATCCCAAAATCCCTATAGGCCAACAACAAAAAAGGCAGGAAGGGGGTTTGGAATCAGTAGAACCCACTCGCCAGACCCTCTGGCTGGAAACAAGATTTGTAACGGCGACCTCCAACATGCTGTTGAGGGGGCATCGTAAGTGGCACTCATTCAGTTGCACCCCATGGATATTCTGCGACTGTGTTTGCCCATCCAATGGCACCATTGCCCAGCTCCAAGCTTGCCTGGGGGTCTCCCAGCAGCAGGCATCATTCCGTGTCCTGGCCACTCTTCAGCAATGCCCGCAACTTTTTGATCTTTTTCAGGACTGTTGTTGTGGATGTGGGGATCTGTGATCCTGTGGCCATGACTGGTACTGATGTTTTGGAAGTCACTGCAGATGTGGGTAGTGAGAAGAGCCGGTGGACTCAAGGCAGAAGGCAGAGCCTGGCAAGGGTCTGAACGGCCTCAGTCTCCGCCAGAGCTGCAACAGGGGAGGGTCACTGTCTAAGGAGGAGCAAAGAAAGTGGTTTTTGGAGGTCGAACCGACTCCTGGAGAAATGCCACAAGTGTGGCTGGGACCCCATGAAGATTTCCAGTGTGGCATCAGCAGGGTCCAGCGTGCCGCCACAGGGCTAGAGAAGACGGGTGTCTTGAGGGACTTGCCACAGTGGGCAGGTGCCATCCACAGCACACAGACCTCTGAGAAATCCTCGGGGAAAGGAAGAGCCCCCCGACGTGGCAACTCCCTGGCTGCTCTGTTTTCAGCAAGTTCCACAACCTCTGGGCTCGTCAGCACCTGCCTCCCTGACCAGTCTGGAAAAGGCTGCAGCACCTTTAGTCAGAAGCAAATCAAAACTTGTTGGGGGGTCAGGTGATGGTTAGCATTCTTGGCTAAAAAGAAAAAAGAAAAATGTACAATGATGACAGTGATGACGATGATGATGATTGCTGTTGTTTGAGGTTTACCTGGCTGTGCTCGAGGCTTCCTTACCCCTGGCTCTGTGCTCAGGCATCACTCCTGAGAGTGCTTAGGGAACCACGTGGGGTGCTGGGCATCAAACCTGGGTTGGCCACATGCAGTCACTATAGTGTCTCATAAGCCCTCAATTAAAAAAAATTTTTTTTAATTTTCGGGCCACACCTTGTGGTCCTTCGGGCTTACTCCTGACTCCATGCTCAGGAATCACTCCGGGCTCAAGGAACTATCACTCCTGCTGGGGACCGATCCAGGGTCAGCCCTGGGCAATCAAGTGCCTTCACCCCTGTGCTTTCTCTCCAGCTCATGGAGTTCTTGACATGTTATGGATATCAATCCTTTATTAGATTGATGGCATGCAAATATTTTCTCCCATTTTGTGGAGCGTCTTTTCACTTGAATGCACACACATTTCTAATCACAGTGAAGTCCGACGTATTGTTTTGCTTGTTGCCTCTGCTTTTGGTGTCATATCCAAGAAATTACTACCAAATCCTACAACCGATTTCTAAACACTTTGGTCTGGTGCCATTTAAACTGAAGGATTCAAAGAATTTTGAAGCAAGATATTTCTGCTCAACAATTTATTTTTATAATTATGGGATATTTTCATAATTGCCCATTCAATCCCCAACTTTTTTCTGAACTTTATTTTCCTGATTACTGCCAAATGCATCCAATTGTAAATTGAAGGCTTGGGACTGGCACATTGTAGCACAATGCAATTGTTCCCCAGGAGAATAGCCATCCAAATTATTGCCAAGTGTGTTTATTAGGAAAATTCCCAACTGATTAAAGACTATGGATATTATATATCAACTATAAAATGAATTTTTGACATTCCTGCTTCCTTTTTTTTTTAATGCTGAAATTCACTTTAGTGCATCTAATAAGGTTCTAAAACTTCAAAGACATTTGTATTATGAAAAGGGTTCCTTGTGGTTGTCACGTTCATTTGAAATTCAAATAACTGCCTGAAACCTGAAACTAGCTAGAAGGTCTGTCCTGTGGCAGGAGATGGGGGAGCAGAAAGCCCTGTGACATTGTTGAGGCATCTGACCAGGAGAGACTCACCTGCCTGCTTTCCCAGGTGGGGGCAGCCAGAAGTGCCCTTTGAAGCTGTCCAATGATCTGTGCCGTCTTCTTTTTTTTTTTTAAGATTTTAAATGTAGGAGTACTGCTATTTATTTAGCCATTGATTAAGCTGATTGAATTGGGATCCATGCGTTCTTTCCTCAAGCATGGAGGGCAGTGGAGAAGAACTTGGTGTCTGGAGGTTTGGTTTTGTCTGTTTTGGGCTTGGGTCTGCACCCATCTGTATTCAGGACTGACTCCTCTCCCTGTGCTCAGGGGCCACTTCTGGTGGGGGTTGGGAGTTCACTTCATATGCCATGCCGGCGGGAATCGAACCCGGGTCAGCCACATGCAAGGCAGCCACCCTACCCAGGGTGCCATCTCTCTGGCCCCAAAGAACTTGGTAATTAGTCATTGATATACTTGTTCAGCCCAGTGATTTTGCATAGCAGATGACGTAGGGAACCAGCAGCAGCCTTCAGCCTGGTGCTCTCCCCTCAGAGAATCTGGCCTGCCCCTTGGGGACTGGGGTGTTCTGAGTAGGTCTCTGGGACATGTTCTTCAGGAGAGTGAGTTGTGGCTGGAGTGACCGAGGGAAGGGACTGCTCCATCTCAGGGAGCAAAAATGCATCACCCCTGGGGTCAGAGCAGTAGCACAGCGAGTAGGGTTTTGCCTTGCATGTGGCAGACCTGGGTTTGATCCCCGGCATCCCATATGGTCCCCTGAGCACTGCCTGGAGTAATTCCTGAGTGCAGAGCTAGGAGTAAGCCCTGTGCATCGCTGGGTGTGACCCAAAAAGCAAAAAAAAAAAAGTGCATCACCCATGGATTGGGGGTGCTGGTGGGGGGAGGGGGCAGCAGGCCATCCCAGCTGGAGTCCCCAGCGTGGAGGGACCTGGCCAAGGGTGGGGGATGCAGGCTGGCAGAGAACTTGCTATCTGACTTGCGTTGTCAACTGTGGGGAGCTGTGGTGGGTCCCTGAGGAGACGAGTGCTGGGAATGTGCCGTCCAGCTGGGAATCTTCCCCTCCATCTTCTAGTTCCCGGGGGCAGGTGGCAGCCCTCAGGAGTACTGTCCTGTGAGTCCCAGGCCTATGATCCTTCTTCCTGTCACCATGCTGCTGGGTGCAGAGGTAAAGAAGGAGGATAGCAGCTGTGGGAAGCCTGGGCCATGAGTTCAAGAAGCGATGGGCACACCAGTCAGATGGCAGGTGGGGTCGCGCTGGAAGAGTCTGTGAAAAGCACGTTAAGGGACCAGATCACAACCAGGCGACTCATAATAAATGAGACAAATGTTTTCAGAATTGTAGTAAAGTAAGTAAAGTAAAGGCCCTCCCATTGATCGTCGATTTGCTCGAGCGGGCCCAGTAACGTCTCCATTGGAGACTTTGTTGTTACTGTGTCTGGCATATCGAATACTCTCGGTAGCTTGCCGGGCTCTCCGAGAGGGGCGGAGGAATCGAACTCGGGTCGGCCATGTTGGCCGCTTGTAAGGCGAACGCCCTACCGCTGTGCTATGTAGTAGAGGATGGAACTCGTTCTCGAACTCGGAAAGCTGATCTCAATAAAACCACATTCACGTTCTAAATCATTTGTGGAGACAAGCACCTTACCTCCTGTGCTTGTCTCTACATCCCAAGTACAGAAAAATTTTAAGCAAATTTCTACAGAAGAATTAATATAACCTAATTAATATAACCTCTATTAATTAATAGACCACCCAAAATGTAAGCAAGAAAACCAAAATCACGTTAAGCAATAATAATGCTTTGATGTTAAACCACTCTATTTTGTAATATTAAAATCACTAGAAAATAGAAAATAAATAACATCTTTGTGGAATGAACAAGGAGGGAATGGCGTGCCCACTGGAGTCTGAGTTGCTCTTTCTGTAAGTATCTGACGGGTGATACTGAAGCACCTCTTTCCATTACAGGTTCACCTGTTTGGAGTTTTGCTGGCCGTCTTGGGAAACGTGGTGATCAGCATTTCCCTCAACATTCAGGTGAGGCAGGCAATGCTGCACTTTCAAACACTCCGGTTAATTGCAGGGACAGGCTCTGCTCTCCCGGGATTTTGTCTTCTCGCCTCCTTCCTCTAGTAGAAAACAGGGAAAAAATTGCATTTTATGACCTCACCGCTGTAGAGGCAGACAGAATCCAAGCTACATTGGCTCTGTTCTTCATTTTCGGAAAGAAACACGTTCACATTTGCAAAGAGGCCCACGAAAATGCTTCTGTGGGTCTCTCAGCAGTGTTGTGTGTTGCAGTCCTGAGGTTTTCAACCTCTTTCCAGGCCAGTGATAGCAGAAGTATTGTGTGGCCCTCTAGGGCTGGAATCAAAAGCACTGTGGACAGGTCAGCATTTGCACCTGTCTATACCTGCTCTGCTGTGCAAGTCAGGCACTGCCCTATGTCAGCAGCCATGGGAAGCAGTGGGAGATTTCTGGGGGGCCAGACCTCCCTGTGACCCAGCTCTAGACAGCCATGCTCCAGCTAAATGCCCGGTCACCTCTGGACTCCTTCTGCTTCTTGGGGAGCCTCACCCCCGCCCCCAGGCATAGCCAGGCCCTTGTCTCTTGTTCTGTTTCCCCCTGGTTTTTGTTGTTGCTGTTCAGTTTGGGGAGGTTTCTTAGCCACTCTCTGCAAGCACTCAGGAGTTATTCCTGGTTGAGGAGTGACCCCAGACAGTGCTCAGGAAGACCATGTATCCGGATCCCAGTGGGACCTAGGAATACCAGGCAAGCACCTTGGTTCCTGTACTCTCTCCGGCCCTATTTTCATTTGTTTGTTTATTTGTTTTTTTAAAAACTTAAGTAATTTGAATTATATATACTTCTTTCTCCTTCTTTTTCAGTTTTGTCTGTGGCCCACATCCAGTCGTCCTTGGGGTTTAATTCTACCCCATACCCAGGAATCACTCCTGGCAGGGCTCAGGACCACATGGGGTGCCAGGGACCGAACTCAGGTCAGCCACATGCAAGGCAAGCATCTTGTCCACTGACTATTGCTCTAGGCTCTCTACATATTTCTAATGAAGAAGTAACTTGAACTGTAAATCAAAGGGCTTTGAAGTTTGGTTTTTAGTTTGGTTTCAGATACTAGGACACGTCCAACCAGCTCCAGGTGGGAGTCCCCACACACTGCCCACCAAGCCATTCTGCCTAGTGCTGATGCCAACTGCCAGCTCTAGTGGCTACTTGATCCACAAACTTGCGCGCGCGCGCACACACACACACACACACACACACACACACATCAAGAAGTTTCTCTTAGTGGCTTATCTTTATTTATTCATGTTTATTTAAGCATCGGGCTTTTTATGACTTTCCAAAAAAGTGCATTTCTGGTTTAGTTTGGTTTTGCAGGGAGGGAGGGAGGATGCGCAGGGCTTATTCCTGGCTCTGCGCTCAGGGACCATCCTGATGGGGCTCAGGGAACCATTCGGGGTGCCAGGGATCGAACCTGAATCTGCTGTGTGCCAGCAAGCACCCTCCCCACTGTCCTATCTCTCTGGCCCAAGAAGTGCTGTCCCTTAGCAGTCTGAGCCCGCCCCCCCCAGGTCCTTCAGAGACACCTCATCTGCAGGGAGTAATGGTGAGCACTCCGAGGGCGTGGGAATGGTCGTTAGGGACAGGTCACTTGGGTGTGCAAGGGCCTGAAAACTCTACTAGGTATCAGCCAGCTGCTCCTTCTGTATAAGAATCGGGCACAGACAATACAGCGGTCATCACTCCACCAGTACACCGAGAAGCCAGTGATGCCCGTGGACAGGCTCCAGGGTTGCCAGACACTTTCCCTTTCTATTTTTTTTTTTTGTTTTGGGGGCCACACCCCCAGCAATGCTCAGGGGATGCTCCTGGCTCTGCAGCTGGGAATCACTCCTGGCAGTGCTCTGGAGGGACCCAGGGATGGAACCTGGGTCAGCTGTGTGCAGTGCACGCGCCCTCCCCGCAGTGCTATGGCTCGGGTGCTTTCGTGCCCGTTGGCACCACAGTGGCTCACCTGCTGACTGCCGGGCTCTCTGCTTCCCTTTCAGAAGTACTCGCACCTGCAGCTGGCACAGCGCCCAGAGCCCCGCCCCTACTTCCGGAGCCCACTGTGGTGGGGCGGGGCCGTGCTCATGGCCCTGGGCGAGGTGGGCAATTTCGCCGCCTACGGCTTCGCACCCATCACCCTCGTCGCCCCGCTCGGCTGCGTGTCAGTCACAGGTGAGCCAACGGGAATCTTAACTATCAGAATAGCGAGTGGCCTTCCATTCATGGAGCAAAATTCCTGGTACTAATCTCAGCCATTCCTGGGTGTTAATGGAAGGCCAGCCACAGGCTCTAGGGGAAAAGGAAGCTCAGATAGAGAAGAGAGCACCAAATGAAGGGTGTTGTGAGACCCTCCCAGGGTGGGAGAAGCAAAAAGTAGTCGATAGACCAAACATGATTGCCACTCAATGCCTCTCTTGCAAAACACAGGAACCAAAAGAAGAGAGAGAGAACAAGGGGGAATGCCCTGCCACAGAGGCAGGGTGGGACGGGGGGCGGGGGGAATGAGGGGTGGGGGGGGGATGCTGGGACCCGTGGGGATGGATGACGGGCACTGGTGGAGGGATGGGCACTTGATCATTGTATAACTGAAACCCAAGCACAAAATTTGTAAGCCTATAACTGTACCTCATGGTTTTTCACTAATCACTTCACTTAATCACTTAACTTCCCGTTAGTCGTCGATTTGCTCGAGCGGACGCCAGTAACGTCTCCATTTGTCCCTGTCGCATGCTAGTGTAGCCCAATGGCATCTGTTCACTAATAAAAAAAGAAAAAAAAAAGAATAGCGAGTGGGTGGGGGGGACGGTGAGCCCCCAAATCACAAAAATGTGTAAGTCTGCAACTGTACCTCATGATGTCTCACTATTAAAAAAATTTTTAATTAAAAAAAAATACAAAGGGAAGCGACTCTTGGCGGTTCCCCCGGCACAACCCCTGGTGCCCACAACCACGACCTTTGATCACGCCCCCATGCCCCGCAACCCATCACCCACTGCAGGGTTCTGACATGCCCAGCGCAGCACAGGTGAGGGTGCTTCTGGGTCATGAAGACTTGCCGGTAGCATCTGGAATGCTGTTTCACACCCTCGCTTAAACTGCATCCCATTCCACCTTCTCGTACCCAGTCCTGCCCCATTCTTTAGCGTCTCTTCTTATGTGACTATGTTAAGAATGAAACACCTTGGGGCCGGAGCGATAGCACAGCGGGTAGGGCGTTTGCCTTGCACGCGACTGGCCTGGGTTCGATCCCCGGCATCCCATATGGTCCCCCAAGCACCGCCAGGAGTAATTCCTGAGTGCAGAGCCAGGAGTGACCCCTGAGCATTGCTGGGTGTGACCCCCCCCCAAAAAAAGAATTAAATACCTGGTGGGGGGGGGGCAGAGCGAGAGAGCAGCACAGGAAGAGTGCTGACCTTGCTCGCCGCCAACCCGATTCATTCCTCGGCATCCCAGAGGGTCCCCCCTGAGCACTGCCAGGAGTGACTCCTGAACACAGAGCCAGGAGGAACCCCTGAGCATTGCTGGGTGTGGCCCCAAAACAAAACAAAGAATTAAATCCCCATGGCTCTGCATTGCAGCAGGAGTGCGTGATTTCGTAGTAACCTCACAGCCATCCCACTTCCGGAATTGGTAGGATTTCCTGAATACATTTAGGAACGAGCAAATGAGGTGTCCCTAAAGACTGGGAGTGGGGCGGGGGGCGGGGGGCACAACACATATCGCCTCTAAAATGAGGCTAAATTCTCAGAGCCTCGTTCGAATCAATAAAAATCCCGTCGTGTTTCCCTCTTCATCGGCTGCCATGGAAACAGCATGTTTCCCCCGGTTCTGTGAGATTAGAAGCTTCATTGAATTAGAAACAAGTCGAGGTCTGGTTATTGTCTGCGAACAGCATGAGCTCACATGTCCCAGTTTGAATCTTTCTCCTGAAAATTATGTAATATTCTTAAAGCGTAGACTGAACCCGAATCACCTAGCTTCACAGCAAACTTTATTTTATTTTGATAGTTGTGGTTCCCCCCCCACACACACACACACACTTTTAATTATCCAAAATGCCGTTTGTGGAAGATGCCGTTCTGGTGCTCCAGAGTGAGGCACTTGGCAGAGCACTGTGACCAAGCTCAAGTGGCTCTTTCTGTTGTCCTGGAGGACACTGTGGCAGGGGAAGAGGGGTGGCGGGGGAGGGGGCTCGCCGGATGCTTCCAGGCCCCTCATTGGCGTGTCTACAACCTGGCTTTGGTTGTCGGTTTGCTCCCCTCATTGCCCCCGACCCTGTGTGAAACTAGACCCATGGCGTTGTGGGCCTCCCCTCCCCCCCATCGCTGCGCCGCTCTGGGAGTCCGCTGGGCACGTGTGTGGACAGCACCTGGGACCCTCATGAGGCAGGAGCTCCTGATGATGAGCTGTGGACCTTCCACCACACACAGACACACTCGCCATGACTTCTTGGATCCCTTCTAGAAAGGGAGGAGGCCACAGCGATGTCACAGCAGGGAGGGCATTTGCCTTACATGTGTCCGACCCGGGTTCAATCCCCAGCACCCCAGAGAGTCTCCTGAGCACGGCCGGGAGTCGTTCCTGAATGCAGGGTCAGGGGAACCCCTGAGTATCACCAGCTGTGGCCTCCGAATGAAAATAAATAAGTAAAAGATTCCAGAAAGGGGCTGGAGAGAGGGGCTCAGGCAGGGAGGGTGCTTGCCTTGCATGCAGCCGACCAGGGTTTGGTCCCCGGCATCCCATGTGGTTCCACGAACCCTCCAGGAGTGATCCCTGAGCACAGAGCTAGGGATAGGCCCTGAGCACCACCAGGTGTGGTCCTGAAGACAAAACAGAAGATTCTGGAAAGTCTTGCAGACTTGAGGAGCGGAGGGCATGATTTTACTTTGGCTGTGCCCGCAGATGGAGCAGGGAAGTCCCCATATGTCTCAGCTAGGACCTTCTTTTATTGTGTTGCAGGTTGTATTGCCAGGGGATGGGGCCCACTCCCAGTGATGCCCATAGTACCGGCCTGGCAGTGCTGGGACCACCAAGACCACTCACAGCGGTGCTAGGGGGAGAAGGGCAGGAGATACTGGGGGACAACATGGGACCCCACGAGAGAGGCAGGCTCTCGTCTCCTTTCAGCGTTCTGCTGACCTGTCACCCTTCCCTGCCATCTGTTAGAACACTTTCAGTTCCTGTCATTTCTTGGACATTCCAGAAAGCAACATCAAACATGTCATTGAATTGAAAAAAAAAAAACAAACGGGTGTGGGGGGGGGGGGGGTGGGGGGTGGATGGAGTGGGGGTGTCATGGAGAGATTGCTCCTAGAGTTGGTGCAAGCTTTGCATGCAGGAGGCCCTGGGACTCGATCCTCCCCACCATGCAGTCCCCTGAACTCAACAGGGAGCCAGTGTTGAGCAGAGCCGGGGCTGAGCCCAGTATCGTCCCCAAACAAAAACAAAACCAGACCAAGTAAACAGGTAGGCGGTGTGTGCATTGAGTGGGGCACGTAGTGGTCTTTGGTTTTGCATCTGGGTTTGTCGTTGTTATTGTTACTTTACACATTTTTGTTTAAACCTTTCTTTCACGAGGAGCAGTCTTTAAGTCCTTAAGTCCCAGGGAGGGGGGCCGCAGAATCCGGCTTCGCCCCCTCCTTTGAGGTGCGTCCTACTGGCTTAGCACCACCACCTGGTCCCTCCTCTCCTTCCTGGAAGGACGGAGCACGGGTCCCCGGCCCACCGCACATGGGACGGCCTGTCAGCCTGGTCTGATGCAATCACACACACTGGAAAACTCCAGAATTTCCCAACCGTGTTCCCAGGCTCAGCGTGTGGAGGAAACTGGCACGCCAGTTTGCCCGAGGAGCCGCGAGGGGCACGAGTGTGCAACCAGCTTGTGCCCTCCTGCTCTGTCTCCTCGGTTCCTCCTGGCAGCAGGGGACAGATTCCCTTCCGGTTCAGCCACAGCCACTGCAGCAGAACCATGTGTAGGGTTCAGGGCTAAGGGCAATGCGGAACCCCCAGGAGCGAGGGCCTGGCCTCTGTCCTTAGACCTGTCCACAATTCCCATCCCAGGCCCACCCTCTGCCTGGGGGCCTTTCTCAGCCTCTGGACTATGTTCCTTGACCTTCTTGCAGCCGTGATCTGTCCAGACCTTGTCTCCCCCATCCCATTGGTTGGACTCCTACTTTCATGCTGTGCCTTCCCCATTTGTATGATTTTCACCCAAGGCCCCTTGGACTATCCTGGCATGCATGGAAAGCCTACAGGCCCCCTGGGAAACACTACTTTAGACCATGAACTAAATAAAACAAGCTTGTCCCGGGTTCCCAGAGCAGCCCAGGTGGGCACCCTCTCATCTCTGCGGTTCCTTCTTGGAGAATCTGGGAAAGATGCATTTCCTGAGAGACTGAGTGAGATTGAATTGTCCTGAAAAATCCTGAGCTGTGAGGGGCCCCGGCCCAGACTCTGGGGTCTTTGGACGGTGCGCAGCCTGTTCTCCCGCACACCACAGACCTGGTTCTGTGCCCCCCGCCCCGGACCCTTCTCATCCTGCTCTCCAGAGCCCCTAGAGGCTGCCCAGTGGCGGGAGTCTGGTCAGTCCCTGGTGAGCAGGACACGGGGACAGCCCACAGTACAGCTTGGCGGGGCTGCTGGAATTGGCAGTTTGATCGAACGAGGACAGCATGTTCTACTGGGATGTCCTGTTCTAGGGTGTTGGAGGAGAAGACCACTTGCTTCAGAGATCTCATTTCCTGATGAAGCACCACGGCTAAATGCTTCATTGCTGGGAATCTGAATATTCACTCTGGGAATTTGTGAATATTCGCGCATTTCCTTTGGGGGTTGAGTTTGATCCATCCACAGAATGTTTTTTTTTCCTCTTGCACTTCATTCCCACAACTGTGATCTACTCTGAGCATTGAGGGATGATGAGAAACAGTGATGCGATCTGGAGTGATAAGGCGATAAGGCGCCTGCCTTGTACACATCAGAACCTGGTTCCGATCCCTGGTACCGTACCTGGAGTGGTCCCTGAGCATGGAGCTAGGAGTCAGCCCTGAGCATAGTCGGGTGGGGCACCAAGAGAAAGAGAGAAAGAATAACAGGACCAGCAACCCAAAGGTTTGAAACCATATCGGACCAAGGAGAGGCCAAGGTGGACCTTGCTCTGTAGAAAAGTAACT